TTACTTCGAACATGTGCAACTATATGGGCAGGATAAATTCCTAGAAGTGATATTGTTGGATCAGTTTAGGTCCATTTATAATTTGATTAACCCACCCCCACCCCCAGCAGTGCTGGTATAAAAATCCTAGCCTCATGCATGCTGGGCAGGTGCTCAGCCACTGAGCTATAACCCTCAGCCCCAAAAAGCAATCCTTTAACTGATCTCTTTCTTGCCTGTAATATCTACCACTTAACCTTTAAGCATAAAGCTGACCCTGTCGATAATCTGTTTAATTCTGGTGATTAAGTGGTACACCCAACATATAAAAACCTGTGAGTTCATAGTGATCTTTTAAAAAGCCAAAATATTAACAACTATTCATTGTAAACCATTGGAAGTAACTAGTGACTAATTCCCAAAAATGGCAAATAACAGGAAGAAAACATCCTGCCCTTCCAGTATGAACTGTAGTTCAAAAAAACTAACTGATGAGAGGTTTTTCATAGATTAATGGCTAGTAAATATGGAAAGAACAATAGAATAATAATTCTGTATCTACCAATGAAATTATTCCAGCAACAGCCACCAGTGGATGAAACCACAGAATGAAAGGTTCTGAGAAAGCTTTAAAATGCCTGAACCCAGTCATCACTGCAAATGAGACAGCCAGTCATTGTTTGCCTCTAGGGAAGAGGACATATAAAGCACAGAGAACCACTTATTAAGTACCTTTAACCCTAAAAGTTGACTACAAATACAGGGCTTAGAGTGCTGAGTTAAATGACACCCCCTGAAAGCAAATATTCTAATCTAGAATGTGGAAGAGTTTATAGTAACAGCTGACCTAGTTTTTACAAGTTAATGTGAGAGAAGGGAGAAAGACTGCTCTTTTGTGGTACTGAACCCAGGGCCTTGCGTATACTAAGCATGCACTCCGGCTTTGAGCTACACCTTTACCATGCTTTTCAGGAGACATAACAGACTACTGTAATGTGTGCATTTGTTTGGATCCTGACTCAAACCCAACTATAAAAAGCTACCTTTGAGACAAAATTTGATTATAGTCTGGATAATACTAAGAAAGTATTAGTTAATAAGTGTGGTAATGAGGGTTGGGTAGAGCACTTGCCTGGCATTCACAGGGCTGGGTCTCAGTCCCCAGCTTCACAAAAACACAAAGTGTGACAGTAACATAGTGAGTTTACATATTTCTTGAGACTCATTCAAATATATAGGAGTAAAATGATATGTCTAGGATTTGCTCCAAAATAACCAGCAAGGAAAAAGCAGAAATTGTTGCATCTAAGCTGGGCGTGGTGGCACACACCTGTGATCCTAGCACTTGAGAAGCAGAGACCGCAGGATCGCCATGAATTCAAGGCCAGCCTCAACCACAAAGTGAGACTCTGTCTCAAAAACAAACAAACAAAAAGAAAATTGTTGAATCTAGTAATGAAGAATCTGTATAATTTAATCTTTTTTGTGATGCTTGAAATTTTTTAATAATGTGTGAACACCCATGTTTATAATAGCACAATTTGTAATAGACTTGGAAACAGCCCAGATGCCCATCAATGAATGAATGGATAAACAATGTGGTTTTTTATAGCTAACAGAGTACTACTCTCATAAAGAAGGATAAACTTTGGACATTTTTAGATAAATGTGCACCTCTACTTTTAAGCGAAATAAGACATTCACACATGTTCAAATATTGCATTAGTACTCTGAGAAACCAAAAGCATAAATGAGGACTAAAATGGATGATAGATATTGGGAAGTAGTTAGAAAATGTTCAAGTGGGGAAGGGGAGGAAGGGAAAAGAAAAATAAATGGAAACAAAGCTTTTGTAAATGGGGAGAGGAAGAAAGGTTGAAGGGAGGGGAGGAGAATAGAAAAGGGCTGGGGATTTAGCTCAGTGGCTTGCCGCCTGCCTCACAAGTGCAGGGTCCTGAGTTCAATCCCTCGTACCTCGCCAAAAAAAAAAAAAAAAAAAAAAAAAAAAAAAAAAAAAGAATCAAGATATGATATGTACAGGTACAAATTCCCTATGATGAATGTGATCATTCTGTATATCGAGAATACCAAGGGGCTGGGTATTTAGCTCTGGCTCATGCCTGTAATCCCAGCACTTGGGAGGCTGAAGCAGGAGGATCGCTGTGAGTTCAAGACCAGCTTGGGCTACATAGTGAGTTCTAGGTCAGTCTCAACTACATAGTGAGACCCTGTCTCAAAAAATAAATAAATAAATAAAAATTTTTCGAAAAAAATCTCGTGATGGTCTTAAGTTAGACATTTGGAGAAATGATCGTGTAAGAAATAAATTTCTGTTCTTTATAAATTAAAATTTTTTGACAAAACAAGTACACACACAAAACAGATTACTTAACCAAGCTAACCAGTGGTTAGATTCTCACAGTCTAGCCCTAACCTACCTTTGCAACTTGCTAACTCAACATTAAGCCTATTTTAGCCACCTAACAATACAGATTCTGAAATTGGCCTCTCATTTTAAGGCCTATTCTTTCTGTTCAAGCCATTTCTCTGCTGATGTGCTTACTCTTTTCCAACTGGAAAACTACTTATCTTTCAAAGACTAGGTCAAATCTTGTTTTTTTTGTTTTGTTTTGTTTTGTTTTTGAGACAGGGTCTCACTATGTAGTTGAGACTGAACTGGAACTCACTATGTAGCCCAGGCTGGTCTCACAGCATCCTCCTGCCTCAGCCTCCCAACTGCTGGGATTACAGGCATGTGCCACCACACCCGGCCTGTTTTGTTTTTTGAGACAGGGCCTCAAACTTGAGATCCTCTTGCGTAGTCTCCCTTGAGCTAGGATTATAGGCATGTGCCACCACGCCCAACCCCAAATCTTACTTGTGAAGTCTACCATTCTTGCTACACTCAGTGCCATCATCTTTAACTCCAAGGGATTTTGCAGAAACACTGGTGAAGTTTATCTCATACTGTAGATGTTTGTCTTCCTATTCCATGGTTAATACTCGTAACATGTAAACACCTGTAAGTTAAGACTTTGGATTCAGAACACCTATGATCACATTGTTTTAGCTGTTGATTAGCTATCTTGAGCAAGCAATTTAAGCTGTGCCTCCATTTTTTCTCACCTGCACAATCTCATTTACTTTGTAGAGCCATATTAATCTCTTTTGTTGCTTGTTTGAGGCAGGGTCTTGCTATGGAGTTTAGGCTGACCTTGATCTTGTTATATAAGCTAGACCTTGGACTCAAAAGCCTGCCTCAGCCTTCCAAGTACTGGGACTATAGGCATGCACACCACAAGCAGAGACAATAATCTGTCTAACAAGGTGAGAAAGAGATCAGATAGTTTCTGACATACAAGTACTCAATAAAAACTGACATTGCTAAGATCAGAACTTTTGTCTTAGCTGGGCATAGTAGTGCATGCCTGTAATCCCAGCACTCAGGAGGCTAAGGCAGGAGAATTGCTGTGAGTTTGAGACTAGCCTGGGCTACATAGTGAGTTCCAGGTCAGTCTCAACTACAAATGAGACCCTGTCTGAAAAAAAAACAAAAAAAAAACTTTTGTCTGTATAGGCCTCCTCATACCTAGATCAATGTCTGCTGTGAGACACTCACCATTCATGACTAAAGATCTAGATAGGTTTTTTTTTTTTCTTAAGAATGAGTTGTATTTAATTTAAAAAGGGGGAACGGGTGTACCCCACAAATGATACAGTAATGAGGATACACAATCCCATAAGCATGACTGAAGGTGTTCACTGTTTGACATCATCATAATGGAAGGCATAAAAAGTGGAGTAAATCAATGTTGTCCATTAGGTAAGATGGTGCAAGAAGTCATTTAAATTAAGTGTCCTACCCTTACCTAAATGACTAGCAGACCTGGAGAACACCAGTGAGGAAACCACAGAGCTTTCTCCATGTAGCTATAAACAGGTTGGCGAATGGCACACCGTCAAACACTGGAAGGGGTGCCATAATGGACCTCTCTTTTACAGGTACGAATGCTAGATTCAACTATCTCAACTAAGCAGGAAGTGGGCTCTTCTGTTAGGAATGCCAACCCTAATTCACTTTGTCTTGAAATATATAGATTGGTTGTAATAGCTACAGCAATGATATTTTCCTTGGGGCGCCAGGCTGTATGAAGGATTTTCCTGTTGAAATCTAGGCTGTCAACACTTATTTCATCTTTCTTTTGCTTGCCACTTGCACAGACTTTGCATAGCTTCAAAACCACGTGAGGCTCATTGTTTTCTCATGATGCTTCTAGGGCTATAGCTTGCTTTGTGTTCCTGATGAACACTCTGAAGAAATTATTGTAAGATCCAGTCATGACAACACTGTCAGATCCATTCCAACAACATTAAAATTTGTCAAACACGCAGTCATTTTCATATAGTGAACAGTTTATTTCTGAGGTATTCATGCATCTGATAAGTTTCCGCAGGCCTGCTTTCCATATTTAAATCACAAATTTTGACTGACAATCTCGTCATCATATAGCAACCACCATGGTTGAACTTTACATCAGAAAGAGAGATGATTTGGTTGGGGGGGAAGACCAGTTCCTGGGGTCCTGTTTCTTCAGTTTAGAATGCCTATCGCAGAGGGCAGACGCCCTCACGTCACAGAGCCGAATGGTTCCTTTACTGCTGCTATACACAAATGCATTACAGCTGTTGGGATGGAATTCTGTGGCTGTGATTACCTCTGTGAGCTCTTCCATGTTGGCAGGTTTGATATCCACAATACTAAAACTCCTGTCTGTAATTTCCAGGTGCCAAAGAATAATCCGCAAATCATCTGCAGATAAATAAGTTTCATAATCACTATTGATAGAAATGGAGTCTGGTAACTATGAGCATGGGCAAATATTCTTCTGGGACTGGCTTTTACCATTAAGTCCGTGGGCCTGAAGACTGGCACTCGTAGTGTAGTGACTGCAGTAGGATCTCTGTACCTTCATCATCTTCTTTCAAGTTATACCGTTCTGGTCTTTTGTCCCTTTCACTGATTTTCCATAATTTTATTATTTTATCATTGGTAGACAATAAAAACCAAGCAGCATTTTTCTGGGGTAACCATCTAATTTTGTTGATCTATTTCTAAACTTTTCAAGTAGTCAAATACTGGTTCATGGCTCTGGAAGGTGCTATAAACATATTCTCTGCTATGAGACTGGATTTTGTTCTCCTGCTCCTGCTGAGACAACAACTCTACCACTTTTATCTCCTATTGCTAGTAATTCTCCAGAATGATTAAATTCTACTGTAGAAATGATATCAGCTTCTGCTACATCATCATTTACTGTTCCTTTCACCTGAGAAAAACACCACTGAATATCATTCCCTCCTCCAGCTCCTGCTCTTATTAAAGCTCTTGCACACTTTGATTGTAGAGGATAAGAAACAGAAGGGAGCACATTCACATAAGAAGAAAAACTTGGGCCTGTAGCCTCAAAAATGAAGCACCCACAGCGCGGGGTGGTGATGGGGGATACACACATGCCTCCAATGTATTTTCACTTGGAAAGCACTCTTCCCTGTCAGAGCCAAACACATCAGAATTAAGAGGGGATGAGCAGAGGAGCTGGGGGGAGGCAGGGCGGAGGGGACAGGAGAGCCTGAATAGGTTTTGATCTCCATGTGGACCTTCACCATGCCCCCAAAGCACTGGTGTAAAGTCAAGTCACTTGAGAGTCTCCACAGAGGTCTTGGGTTAGCAGTAGGAGATGGGAGCAGCTGAGGAGTATGGGCCCCTAACTTAAGGAGTGGAGGTGTTAAAAGACACAAAGGCGGCAGAGCTGCTAAGGGTAGGATGTATGTCATTTATTGAGCCTGTCTTTCCCCCCTCACTGGTCACTGCTCTTGACTCGTAGGACAACAGGTACAGAACTACAAGGAATCATGCCCAGCTCTGTGATCACCAGGTCCACGAGCTCTGGAGGAGTCACATCATAGACCAGATTCAACAACCGCAGGGATGGGTGGTTCTGCCAGTTAGCCAGGGCCACGTGATCTCCCCGCATGCACCGCAGATCATCAGGGTCATCTGCAATGGGAGGGGGACCCATTAGGGCCTTGTGGAAGAAGTTAAGGCTTTAACCTCCCCTCTCCCTCGCAAGCCTTCATGGCTCTCAGGAAGCTTCTCTTCTGCATCGCTTACCTAGCTCATTAGAGACAAAGGCATCAGTCTGCACACGTTCACAGAACTTATATGTTTCGCAGCAGACCAGCACTGGCACATTATGGGCTCGAGCCACTAAGGCCAGCTGTGCCGTCCCTACCCGTGACATCACAGATCCATTGGCCAGAAGTGCATGAGCTCCCAATAGCACCTTGGAAACCTGTTTTAGACAGGAAGGAAAGTACGTCATAAAGTATCAGTGTAGAATAAGGTCCCCTATCTCTGCCCTGGAGAGCAATACTAGGAGAATAAATCCTGACGGCTGCTTTTCTTGGAAATCAACTAGCCATTCACCTACCAAGTGTGGCACAAGAAAACTAAATTTTGAAGTGTTTTTTTTTTTTTTTTTTTTTTGTAACCGCAAACGAACTCAGGCCCTTGCAGTTGTGAGGCAGGGAAAAGTATCACCGACCCAAATCCCCACCCCCGTTTTGAAGGGTTTTTTTTTTTTTTTTTTCTCCCTGTTCCCTCTTGGTAGCTGCTAGGTTAACGTACGGTTCTTGTGACTGCTAGATGGAATGCTTTAGGTGTTTTTCCTATTAAGTACAAACAGGCTGTGCTATCCTAATAACCTTAAGAAGATAGGATTATGTGTGTTATTGTATCCTTTCACCTCCAATTTTGGAGTCCCTTTTCTCTGCCCTCACCTCTGGGAGCACGTAAGAGGCTGCAGGAATCAGCAGGTAAGAGGCAGGGACGCCAGCATGGACCAGAGAACGTAGCATGTGCCTTCCTTCCAGCCAGGGCCGGCTGTCCACCACTACCACCCGAAACCTCCGGCCCTCATTCCAAGCCTCCTGAAGAATTCGTGATACCAGGGATGAGCTACAGTGGGTGGAGAGGGGATCCAGTCATAAAAGGCACTAACTGATTTAGGCCAGCTCATTCAGATGCAAAGGGGTAGTCCTTTCCTCTGATCATTCTACTTCCCAATTTTCTCAGTCAATCGGCTGGATCATACCATCCATACACCAGGATCACATCTCCATTACTGATCTTCTTGTAGGCAAAGCGTGAAATTGCCTGAGCCGCAAGCACAATCTTCTCTTGTACATACCGATCAATGGCTGCTCCAAGTTCTGACTTGGCCTATATGGAGTAAGACATTTAGAGAACAGGAAATGGACACATTTCTTCCCTATATACCAGATGCGTGAATATGTTACAATGATGGACCTGAAAGGCACCCACAGGTGACACAAGTCAGAGTGCCCAACCACTTCCTTAACCCTCGCCCTCCACAGAACAGCTTGTATTGGCCTTCTGGAAGTACTGAACATGCTGTTTAACACCAACCACAAGTGCATGCCTCTCCCATTCCTCCTACTCACCTCCTCTTCCCTTGTGGAGCTGCTCACAGCAGTGATTTCCTTGTTAAGGAATTTGATGGCATTGTACATGCTTGCTGACAGGGGCCGACACTGAGTGAGGAAGCTACAACAAGAATACTTCCTGTTTGTGCAGCTCTTTACAATTTAAACTGGCACATTTAAAATTAAAATTTAGAGCCGGGGATTTAGTGGTTCCAGAGCCTGCCTTGCAAGCACAAGGTCCCTAGTTCCAAAGGTCTCGAGATCCCAGTACAAAAAAAAAAAAAAATTAGCTGGGCGTGGTGGCGCACACCTCAGCACTCAGGAGGCTGAGGCAGGAGGATCGCTGTGAGTTTGAGACCAGCCTGGGCTACATAGTGAGTTCGAGGTCAGTCTCGACTACATAGTGCGACCCTGTCTCAAAAAACCAAAAAAAAAAAAAAAAATTAGCTGGGCGTGGTGGCGCACACCTCAGCACTCAGGAGGCTGAGGCAGGAGGATCGCTGTGAGTTTGAGACCAGCCTGGGCTACATAGTGAGTTCGAGGTCAGTCTCGACTACATAGTGAGACCCTGTCTCAAAAAACCAAAAAAAAAAAATAATAATAATAAAAAAATTTAGCCATGTGTGGTGGCTACACACAGTGAAACCCTGTCTCAAAAACCAAATAAATAGGGTGGGGGATTTAGATCAGTGGTTCCATGCCTGCCTCTCAAGCAGCAAGGACCTGAGTTCAATCCCCCATACTAAAAAATAAACAAACAAAGAAAATAAACTGGGCATGGTGGCAGGCACCTGTAATCCCAGCTCTCAGGAGAATGAGGCAGGAGGATCACAAGTTCAAAGCCAGCCTGGGATAGTGAATTCAAGGTCACCCTAGACTACACAGCAAGACCCTGACTCAGAAGTCAAAAGAAAATTTAAAAAGTAAAAAAAAAAATTTTTAAACACAGAGAACAGGAAAACGAAAAAGAAAAGACCAAGAGTACCAGAAAAGGGATAGATGAGGTAGGAGTTAATCTGTGGCTGCTCTTACCTGATGTAGGGTTTCAGTTTGTTCACCAGATCCCTTGAGAGTTCCTCATTGGGAGGAGTTGTGTAATCCTGAATCACCTACAGAGCACACACAAACCGATCAGCAAAGTGCCTCTAACAAAGGTCTCTGAAGGGGGATGGAGTTTCACTGAGGAAAGTGTTCTGAGGGCAGGAGTCATCCCCTCTTTGCCCAGTCAGGAATGTAGCTTGGGTCAGAAGCTGGGGCAGTGTTGGGGAAGGATGAGAACAGGACAGGGCCTACCTGCTGCAAGGCACGAAGCAGAGCGATACACCGGGCATTGGAGCCACTGACCAGCCCCTGGGAGTACTGCAGGCCGAGTCGCACCATGGCTGGGTGGATCACAGAGGATGGGATGCTGATGGGATGGCAGTGTCACACTTTGCAAGGGAACTTGAGCACCTACTTCTCCCCCCCAACCCTGGTTGCAAAAGGCTTCCTTTACTAGCACAGACTGCCCATTTTCTCTTAAAATTTAGCCCAGGATGTCCTCAAACGCAAAGCGATCTTTCTGCCTCCACCTTCCAAGTGCTGGGATTTCAGGCATGCACCCCACCTGGCTCTAGTAACTTTTAGCCACTTAACATTATCACTTGGGCAGTGCATTTGTTTACATACTATCGCTCAGGTAAGTGTCATTTCAACCACTTGATTCTTGTATTGGATAAATTTGATGAAACTGTCATTTTTATATTTCCCGTTATCTTATAAAAGTTAATGAAAAAAACATGCAACATTTGGTCATCCTGTATTTAAGTAATTGGACAGGTAAGTGGTTAATACTAAGTTAATACACCTTCTCAGACTTAGATGTTATAGGACAGTTTTGTAGGATCCTACCTCATGTCCTGGGTCAGGGAATTTTGTCTGCTGTACTGGGGAAGGTGGGAGAAGAGACTAACTTTGGATCCATAATCCTTTCGTGTAGGAACCTTGACAAAACAAGAGACAGAACCAATGGCTGAGTTTAAAATTTATGGGTTAAAGCTGGGAAAGTGAAGATTGAGACTACTTCACCCCAAATACCCATCTGTCTCTAGGGTCTCACTTTGCCTTGAGCAATTTTCTTCCCTCCCTAGACTCTTTCCCAGTTCCTACCTGTTGTCGCTCTGGTTTTTTAATAAGGCTCCTGAGATGTGTGGGGTCATCAACCTGAGTGTGCTCGGGGAGACGCTTCACCCCTAAAACATAATGAACATGTTTTCAAAACATGAAAGTCTTGAGGTGGGTAGTTTGCTCCTAGGGCATGGAGGGAATCATGAAAAATAGGACAGGGGGAAATGCTATGCCAAATGGAGTAGAACAAGAATTAGGGGTACAGTGGAGCTGATGGAGGAATTTTGAACTCTAGGTTCTAAAGTGAAAACGAGAAGGGAAAATTTCTACTCTGGGGAAGGCTGAGCCGACAAGAGAAACACAGCAACAGAGCTCTTAAATGAAGGGAAGTGGGCCAGGGATGTAGGTCAGCAGCTCAGTGGCTGTGAGGCACTGAGTTTGATTCCTGGTACCAAAAAAGAAGAAAGAAATGAGGGGAAGATACCTGAGGGGGTTTCTCCAGCTGTGCTGGGGCAGGCCTGAGGAGGTGTCCCTCCTTGCTCCCCTTTTCTTGCCTGTTTCAGGGCCCGTTCAGCCTCCTGCTTGGCCCGTCGCTCAGCACGAAGTTCAGCCTTACTCCGACTAGCTGCAGCTTTCTCCCCAGGAGCACCCTCCAGCTGCCTGCTGGGTCCTGGCAGTTCTCTCACTGGCCCTACTAAAGGCAGAAGGAAGAGGTGCTGAAGCTTCAGGCAGGAGTTATTTCTGCTCCAGCCAAAGTTTTATCTAAACCTCTTATTCTGTTCACTTACTCAAGCCAACTTTGTCTTGCCTCTCCCACCACATCCCTTTTTTTCCCAGCTCCACACCCTAACCCTTTCAAAGACTCCTCACCTTGACAGTGAGCTGCAGTTACAGCCGAGACAGCTTCTGGTTCTGCCCCCTTTTCCTCCTTCCGTTTCTTCTTCTGCTGTTTCTTTTCCTTCCGAAGTTGCAGCTTCTCTTCTTGGGTCATCTCCCTCCCCACTACCTGAGACAAAGACATAGGACGCTGCTCTGCCCCCAACGATTCCAAAAATGAATCAACACTGTCGGCTTACAAGATTCCCACATGGTTAAGTCCCTAATCCTTTCTCATGTCCTCATGCTACCTATTACAAACTTATGTCCCACAGAGATGGAAGCTTCCCTTCCAGGATCAGAGTCATATACCATGAGGCTCTAAAATTTCTTGGCTTTACTGAGAAATAAACTGAAACGGGTGGGAAATGAGGTTGAATGAAGCTGACAAAAAATTCCTGCGTAGCGTTTGACAGGCGGCTGGGGAGGGCACGCTCACTTACCCCAGGCCGAGGAGAAAGCTCCGCCTTCATCCCTGATCCCGAGTCTGCATCAGAAAACAGAGCACAAAGTGAACCAGAGAGGCTCCGGGAGGGCTTGGGGGGCCTCCTGGTCGCAGCTGGCTGCTGTGTCGGCATGACCACGGTTTCGCCGCCGGGCGCGAGGCGTGGGGACTCACTGCGCGGCACGATCAAAGGGCAGGCAGGGAAAGGAGAAAGGAGGGGTCACCCACCCTTCACCCGTGAACCAGCCGGTGTGAGGCGCGGGGCTGCGCCGGAGAATATAAACCAAAGTCTGGCGTGGAGCGGGAACGGAACCTCAGGCACAAAGGAGCTCGAGCCCCAGCCCAAGACGTCAGGAGCTCATAGGCTCATGTACCAGTTGGTGCGTCCAGCCCTTCACTCACCCTCGCGAACAGCTACAGCCACAGCAGCCATCGAGGTCTCCGTCCTAGGCTCCGCCCGCCTCGTTCACTGGGCCGTCCCGGTGCCTTGCTCCGACTACAGCGCCACCTAGGCCAGAGGCTCCACTACCGGCACCCACTGCGCGCGGTACCAAGTGGACTACAACTCCCGACGTGCATTGGTCCCCGCCTCCAACTACGGGTAGCGAAGAGGTTCGTCGCAATTTTAGGCTACCGGTTCCGAGAGTATCTTCTTGTTCTGAGACTACAGTTCCCAGCTTGCCCAGGGTCACTGCGCCCAGAACCGCCGTCCCAGCGCCTTTCCTCCTCGGATGTCAGGCCCCCCCAAAATGGCGAGTGAAGCTGCTGGGACGCACTGAAGAGCGGAGGCGAGCGTGCAGAGCCCCCGCGGCCCTTACACTCCGGCGCCTGAGTGGGCCCTGCCATAGGGAACATGCACTTTTCCATTCCTGAAACCGAGTCCCGCAGCGGGGACAGCGGCGGCTCCGCTTACGTGGTGAGGAGCAGCCGGAGTTGGACGGGCCGGGGCGGGAATAACGGGCCAAAGCCCTGGGAACGGCCTCCGAGGCCCGGCTGCCATCCTTCAGGCCTGATTCTGGGCCGCCGCCTCGCTGCAGCATGTCTCATGTCTCAGATTTGTACAGAAGATGCTCCTTCTCCAAGAGGTCTTTTGTTCGCCTAGCTAGGCCGCGTATGCGGTGAGCGTCACTGGCCTCTCAGGGAAGGAAACTGCAGCATGAGCACCCGACTTTGCCCTGTCTGCCCCTTCTGCTTTGGGATTTGAACCTGGAAAAAGACAGGCTACCTAACCTTTGGGAGATCTCGGTGCGTTATTCGCACAGAGCCGAACCAGTCAACTTCCGGTCAGGGTTTTCAGAGAGGTAGCTCGGACTGCTACCCTGAAATGTTTTCCTGCTTTTGTATCCTCAGGCCTATAACATTCACGTGAATGGAGTCCTGCACTGTCGGGTTCGCTACAGCCAGCTTCTGGGGCTGCACGAGCAGGTTGGACTAGCACCCCTGCCTGGAGGCAGCTTTAATCCCTTTCCTACACATGGGCATCTATCTCCATTTTTTTCCTCTCATCTCCGTCTTTAATCACTGCCACTGGGGAGGCTACAGTGCTTTATCTTATCCTCTGGCATTTCCGGGGAGCACTCCCTAAGAAGCTGAATGTCTGCCGCAATAGCTGCTTCCTCCTGTAGTTACATCCTCCTTTCTGCGTTTTCCTATCATCTTATCTGCACTTTGCCCCTGCATGGAAAAAGCAAATCCTCCCAATCTGCCAAAACACATTCCTTTGTCGTGTGAGCTGCAATTTGAATTCTTTTCTTTGCTTGTAAAAACCATTCACTGATTTCCTTGTGTGTTCTTTGGCTCGTTTCAGTATATGTAGCTGTTCCAATTATTGTTAGGTATGTGTGATGTAATGTTTCTCTGCCTTCCTCACCAGATGGTGAGCACTGTATTTAACTCAGATGCAGTCCTGGTTCTACTGATAGTTGTGCAGAGCTGAGGAAATTACCTAATTTTCTGGGACCTCAGTTTCTAACGCTGAAAAATGGATTCCTTGATCTGCAAAGTCCCTTTATTTATTTAATGGGTGGGCTGAGACAGGATCTTGCCATGTAGTCCAGGCTGGCCTCAAACTTGTGGCAATCCTCCTGCCTCAACCTGCTGGGTGCTGGGATTACAGTCATGTGCCACCACACCCAGATGTCCCTTTAAATGCTAATTTGTGAACATACTTAACTATATCCCTGAACTATATGTTCACTGAACTATATGTTTACACTGTGTAAAGCTGTTTTCTCTGAGAGTTCAATGAACAGTTTTGCTATATAATTCAGGGGCTCCCTGTAGGTCTTGGCCCCGTACAAATCCTCCCCACTCTAGAGGAACTCGTGCACACTAAAACAGAATTTAGATATCTGAAGCAGTTCCCTTAGCTGGGCGAGGTGGCGCATGCCTGTAATCCCAGCACTTGGGCAGTTGAGGCAGGAGGATCACCAGGAGAGGCCATCCTGGACTATGTAGTGCGTTCAAGACCAGTTTGAACTACAAAATGAGATCCCATCTAAAAAAAAAAAAACTCTACAAAAGTTATGGTTTCCCAGATGACTGAGGTAGACAAGGGAGTCCAGGTGAACATTGTGTCTCCACTGCTTCTCACTTTCTGTGTCTATGTGAATGGTTATGTCTTTTTCTCTGTGTAGCTTCGGAAGGAGTATGGGGCAAATGTGCTTCCTGCATTCCCCCCAAAGAAGCTTTTCTCTCTGACACCTGCAGAGGTAGAACAGAGGAGAGAGCAGCTAGAGAAGTACATGCAAGCTGGTGAGTAGTTGGAGGAACTTTAGGACATTTCCAGGACTGTGGGGAGACTAAAAGCAGCTGGCTCTATAGAAGGTCCCAATTGATTTCTAGATCTGAGAATCCACTTATCTGACCTGTTATTTAATTAGCAAAGTAAATAGCCTGTAAGGCTTTGTAACTCTGTGTATTAGCAAAGCAATTTGGGCACTAACATCTATGAGAAGTACTAGTATAACACTAAGTAATCTTAAAGCAGTTTAGATGGGTGGGAAGAACTTAATTTGTATCTGATGTGCTTTAGATTAACATCATTGTTATTTCCCTAGTTCTGTAGACTGGACTCAACTAGATGGCAGCCAAGGGTGGGGCAGGTGAAGAATTTATGCAAACAGTGAGTGAGGTGAGGCCAGCTGGGAGATGTGGCAGGCCACCATCAGCCCAGGAAACGGGGTGGTGGGAAGCCTACTAAGAAGAGGACTGGGGGAAGCCAAAAGTAACTCCTAGGTTACTAGAACATCATTCTCTTGTCATCGCAGTTCGGCAAGACCCATTGCTTGGGAGCAGTGAGACTTTCAATAGTTTCCTGCGTCGGGCACAGCAGGTAAGGCGTTGGGTGACACTCAGATTTAAGGGAGGACCATGTCTTTTTTTTTTTTTTTTTTTTTTTTTTTT